AATGGTGGGGATTCCCAATGGTTTTGTGGACTCTCGGCTGTAGAAGGTTTGCCTCTTTATTAGCTCCATAAAAGTTCTAAACCCTGGATCAAAGGAACAATGCGGTCACTAGCTCTTTTAAGGAATACTTGATCTTGTTTTTTGGTCAACCTTTTTAAATACTCTCCCCGATTTTTAATGTAAAAATTATTTAATTAATACTAAGAAATCAAAATAGTCAATTAATTACAAAGATGATGTAATCTTCTCTAAAATAATCGTATATAACTTATTTTATATGTAAGATTACAAGTTATGTAAACTATGTTTCTGGAAAAATAATAAATATAAGATATACTTTTAATAAGATAACAAATAATCCCTTTGTTCCTTGCTGTATATCGTAGAAAAATTGAATGAGAGCCGTAAAAGTTAAATGAATAATCAATAATTTTGTACCCAAAAAAGTGTCAGAAATTATGGGCCCAGTGATTGGATGGATCGTCATGTTTGAAGCTAAACAATTACTTAACTTCCATTGTCTTTACTCTCAAAAACCTTCACCACGACCACTCGCGGTCGCCTTCCCTCTTTTGTCACAGCTTACCCCTCGCTTTTGCCAATTGCCATATTATTCTCACGTCTCATACCCTTTTTTTCCCACAATATTTGCTTTGGAAATTATAAGGTACCAAAGGGATTTGAATTAAGAAAACCTCTTTTAAGACACAAGTAGAGTATTATAGATAAAAGTTAATAAAACAAATTTAGTAACTATGAGTAAATCTACATCTCTTCAATTTGTTAGACCCTCTTCTTGTATTTCTTTTGAGTATAGTGAAAAGAAAAATCCTTTTTAATAAGAGAAAAGGTCTTATAAAAATTTCTCATCTCCCTAAAGATATTCGAGCAAGTAATACTTTTATAATTTTATTTATAAAGTACTTTAATGTATTTCATTGAGAAAAAGTTTTAAATCTTATTAACTCTTTGTTAAAATTTAATGACTTTTTAATTTTAATCCTATTAATTTTAATCCTGTTCAATATATATACACACTTTAATGAGAAGTCTAAAATAATAAATGATAGAAAAAATTGCACATTTGTAAAATAAATTCAATTATTCAACAATGTTATGTATATTAAAGACAAGTAACATACCCCCTCTGCCTATAAATAAAATTAAAAGAATATATATATAATAAAGTAAATTGATCTCTCACTCGTTTTCAAGCTATGCTTCTTATCTTGGAAATGATGGGGAGAAGAGATGTAAGATTTTAACAAGTTTAATTTAAAAAGTAAAGTTTTAAAATTTTAATAAAAAGTATAAAATAAAAGAATAATAAAAATTAACTAAAACTTTTTAACTTTATTTTCTTAATTTTTTAAATTGAGGTAATTAAAATATTTAATTTCATCTACTGCCCTCTCTCCATTTCTCCTGTACCAAACAGAAAAATGATACTATCTCACAACATGATTTTGTGAGAGATCATGGGAAAAACAAGTGGAAGCATAATTTTATGGTTTGATTTGATTATCAGATATGGAAGATATTTTGATGGACAGGCAACTATACAAATGACCCAGAGGTTGATCATTTATGGCTGAGAAGAAACTAAGAGACAACCTAGGGGAAGGAAGAGACAATATGTACGTAACCTGAGAGAGAAGGTGCTTTCACAAATCACTGCGGTATTTTCCACAGCAAGTGATGCTACTCTACAATCTACACCTTTATCTCCAATGAGCGTTAAGAGAATGAATAATCATCCACATCTATGCTCTACGCATAGACTCTATCTATTCAATACAGATAGAGATAGAGAGAGAGAGAGATATCAGTGAGTGATCGAAGAGACATTCGGACTGTCCCACTAGCTTTACCAGCTTTACTCGCTTTTTTCCATAGTAAATAATCTCGGATTAGATTAGATGCTGTGTGTGACACACTAAATAACAAGACAGAAAGAAAGAAAGATTGAGAAAAGAAAACAGCATCATCATGCTCAGAACAATAAAAGAATTACAGAGACCCGCAATTATGAATGCCCCGTGAACAGTACTACAAGAGAAGAAGTGAGATTATTCTCTCTATTAACAAGACAGATCCATCAGTTGCAGGAGGACGAAGCAGTATTTTTTTTCTTTTAGGCTATCTGAGAGAGGGAGGGAACAAGCCACCACCAAGGCTTCCTGAAATGACTAAAGAGGAAGAGAGAACCCGGAAAGTGTGAGAGAATATTGAACGAGGGGCTGCCAATAAAAGTGTAGCAGAACGGGAGAGATATGACAAAATCTAAATTTATGCTTAACAATATAATACGTATATTCTTGTTCATATAGAATATTTACATTATTGATATACTTCAGTATTTTGGAGCGTAATTTGTTTATTATTTATTGAAAACAAAACAATACAGCAAGGCGATTTCGTATTCCGAAAACCCATGGCCTGAGCATCCATCATCGTGGAGTATTAGCCAAATAGGTGACTTGTTGGAACATCCTCGATTTGATCGTTCGTCCCCCACCCCCCCTCTATCTCTCCTGCTTTTGTTGGCAGTAGCCATGGCAGTGTGATCAGTTTAGTGCAAGAAAAGAGGGAGAGAGTTTTTCATTGGGAAGGCAATAAAGCTTCGTGTGCTCAACAGTCTCTCAGGCACTATTCACACCACCAAAAATCCCTTCTTCCTTCTTCTCTCTTCCCTTCTTCTTCTTACTCAAGTTTAATAATCTCCCTTCTCTCTTTCTCTCTCTAGTCTATACCCCGCGGGTCTTCTGCTGCAACTCCCACTTACCCTTTCTTTCTCTCTGCAATTTATTGTCCTGTGAGCCACACACAGAGAGATAATACTACTAAAACAGTAAAATTAACGCACCTGTTCAACAAAGCAAATCTCTCAGGCTTTCCCTGTGAAAAGCCGGAAATTTGTCCCACAAAACCCGGGAGATAGACCTATATTACGTTACCATGAGGGAGATAGACTGAGAAACAAAAAGTATTGTTCATGGGTGTGTGTTAAGAGTTAGCTATATATATAATCCATATTACATAGTAGAGAACAAGGGATCTAGAGAAGAAGAAGATTTTATTTATATTGAACGTGGGAGCGAGGTAGAGATAGAGAGAGAGAGAGATCTGGAGAGAATGGAAGAAGGTGGTTCTAATGGGACTTCATATGTGATGGGTTTTGGGGAGAGCAGTAACAATAACAATAGTAGTAGTAGTGGGTTGTGTGCTTCATCTCATCCAATGATGATGATGATGCCTTTTGTGACTACTTGTCATAATGTTTCCCATCAAATTCCCTTCAGTCCTAATCCTATGAATAATGCTCTCACGCACAGTACTCCTTTCCTTCCTCTGCCTTCTTCTTGCACTAATACTTCTAATCATCAACCCCAAAACCACAACAGTTCTGGGTTAGTCTCCTTTTTCATGGACAACAACAACAACAACAACGCTAGCTCTTCTTCTTGTTCTGCTGCTAAAGCAAAGATCATGGCTCATCCTCACTATCATCGTCTTTTGTCTGCCTACGTTAATTGCCAAAAGGTTAGAAAGATGAAACAAACATAAAGAAATATCTTAATTTTGACTCTCCTTTTCATGCCCCTTAACCTAAACGGTGACAAAAGTAAAGAAGGAAGCAAAATAGACATCCATTGATGCGAAATGATGTTTATTTATTAGTCCTTGTACATTCGCTTGCTTTTACAACTTCGGATCTGCTCGTTTCGTTAATAATTATTATCCTGTTGGTGAAAAGTTATGATGGAATTTTTAATTTTTAATAGAAAATAATTGGTTGTGGAACACTTGGAAGCGGAATTGATTATTAAATCTCATCTTGAGCCAGTTTTGACGTATCATTTTCTGTGGAAAATACTAAAAACTCTGGCAGGTTGGAGCGCCGCCGGAAGCGGTGGCGAGGTTGGAGGAAGCATGTGCTTCTGCGTTGACAATGGCAGCCGGCGGCGGTTCGGGGTGTATCGGAGAAGATCCGGCACTGGATCAGTTTATGGAGGCATATTGTGAGATGCTTACCAAGTATGAGCAAGAACTCTCCAAACCCTTCAGGGAAGCTATGCACTTCCTTCACACCATCGAGTCTCAGTTCAAAGCTCTCACTATTTCTTCTTCTTCAGACTTCGGTGATTAACTCTCTCTCTCTCTCTCTCTCTCTCTCTCTCTCTCTCAAACATGCTTTTGGATCTCAAAGCTCACAGTTTGATGCCCTTTTCTTTAGTTTTTATGGATGTTTAATACGACAAGCAGATTTTTTTTCCGCAGCCAACAAAATTTCCTCCCCATGTGAATGGGTTTGTAGTGAAAATTAACCTTTTCTGTTTATGGTTCAACATAATAAGTTTGTTTTGTTTCATGAGCCCAGTTATAGAACATTTGTTCGGCCTGGCCTTAAAATCTTTGAACTCGGTTTCTGGTTTTACTTCAGATCGATAAAGCTAGGTCTTGCTAAACTTTTAGACTTCTACTACATAATATACTTAGAAGTCATGCTCGGTTGCAATCAGTCTTTTATCTCTTCATTGGGGTTTTTGTTCTTTGATTAATTGCATGACCATGCATGTCTTGGTTCGGAGGATTAAGGTTTTCGATGTCATCGTGAGAAAACTAATTTGCAAATGTGATCTTTTATCAGTGTTTCAATTATTTCCGGTTTCCTTCTGAGTTTTAACATGTAATATAGTCTTTTCTCATCATGACGAAGTTTGAAATACTCGCAAGGATCTTATGCCCAAGTCGTGTAATTTCTGCCAAGGCGTAGATGGATTGGTACATAAATGGCTCTGCCCTCTGATTCTCTTTCTCGATGTTTGTGCATTGAATGATCTTTTGTCGTTGTCTTGGTTATAAGTTCTTTACATTTCATGCGTGGCTTATAAGTTGATATTGACATAAATCTTAATATCGCTTTAATAATCATCCCTCTGCCTATGTATTTTCCTGTTCGATGATTATTTACTGAGAGGTTCGGGATTGGTGGTTTTTGATTCTTTCATATAATGAAAGAACTCGAAAAAAGAAACCAGAGACAGGGCTTGGGGACATCTGGGACTGTGGCTTTAGGTTTTCTAAGAAGCTAGGGTTTCTTCCAGACATTATGCCCAGTAATAGCAATTGCGAGGTTGGCTGTGGACACAGTTCTCTAGATCATTGGAAATGTAAAATGCAGAGATAAAGAACGGTTACACAGTGACCTGAAGCCATTTGAGCAGGTGCAGGTGTTATTCAGGTTAAAAGACGAATAATTATGTCTTGAAGAAATGTATTTTTGTTCCCATTTAACAAAGAAATATGCGTATAAATTATTTATTAATATTAACTCCTCTTTAGCTTCCCACAATAAGACTGAAGCAGAGTGAAAATAATTATGCAGTAATATACTCCTACTGATACAAAGAACTTTTTGGGACTGAACTTATTTGTTGGGGATATAAATAATTTAATGAGCAATGGAAGTTCAACAATAATATTATTGGTTTATAAAGGTCTCATACTAATTTTTCTCATGTGGGACCATCATTTTCTTTTATGGATTGATAAAACTTGAAAAACCATACTGGTTTCACTCTATTTATTTATATTGGTAATTGATTGATTGATTGATAAATATAGAATTTGCAGTTGTATGGCCTAATTAGGTTTCTAGTTAGTTTTCTAACTTCTAATCTTCTCTCAGTGTCATATCTATATGATTATGCTTATACTGATCAGAGTCCTCAATGTTAATGCATCCATCAATCAGTCGGAGTCAAATTTTGCTGCTGTATTACTGTTTAACGTGAATGATGAATAGGTTTATTGCATAATTGCATTGCATAATTATAATTAGATATAAAACAATACATCTTTTTTCCACTGTGCATGGTCCAAAAAGTACAAGTGTGTCTACTTTGTGAGCCATATGAAAAGTATACAAAAATCTTCGCATAATCATTTATCTACCAAACAAATTTGACCAGCATTAGATCAGAGGGTATCTTATTTAGTAGTTCCTTGATCTGTGATGCAACTTCACATAATTAAATTAAATTATCTATTATAACAACTGCACAGATTTTTTGAGCTGCTGTCTGAAACTACTTTAATTTAATTTCTTGACGACTTGGTCATCCATAGCTAATCACAGATAACTTTTCAGCCACTTGGGAGTTGGGACCCAATTGTCAAAATTATGCTGATTATGATGTCATTAAGATTGAGCTAATTATATTTATATCTATATCTATATCTATATATTTCATGAATTTGATTGAGCAAGTAAAATAGTTACGGCCTGTTTTTTTTTTTTTTTTTTTTTTAATTTTACATAATTATAGGTCTCCCCAAGCTGAAGTATCTGCATAGATACAAGCTCCCTCTAGGCCTCAATAATTACTGAGTTTCTGAGTTTAATTATTGATTAAGTACCCTTCGTTAGTTAATTTTGTGAAGGACACATATCCTTCCCTTCCCTAACTTTTTCTGCGTTGAAGAAATAAAGGCCTGTCTACCAAAAAAAAAAAAAAAAGAGGAAAAAAAAATCTGGGTTTAGTAATTAATCAGCTAGCTCAAGAAGTAGGGTTTCATAGACGTAGATTTCTTTTACTAACTTCAGCATCGTGATAATTAACAACTTGTACTTTTATTGTCTCAAATTTGTTAGTGATTGTGAACTTGTGTTCTGGCTTTTCATTTAATCATATATACATTGCTTTATTGGTGTTCTCTATGCTATTCCCGCATACCAATGAGGAGAGTGTAGGTTGGTTTTGGAATCTTCGTCACATGTTCATGAGCCTACATTCAAGTGACATTTCCTTACTAGATACTAAGAACTAGTGCGTCTAGATTCTCCAACAAACCTCACTTCACTTGAAAAAGCTTCCTTTGGGATATTGGAATGAGAATGTGAAGAACAGACTTTTCAACGTGGGAGTCGCTACCTTTGTATGCGTGAGCATGCAAATATGTGGCCTTGTGTTCATTTGTCACCTTGACGTGTTTTGGATTTGCTTGGCGATATTTTAAGGTTGTTACTGGGTTGTAACTTGCAACCTGCAGCTGTCTCTATTCTGGGTAATTATTGGGGTGTGTGTGTGTGTGTGTGTGTTGTGAAGCTAATCCTTTGATAAGTTTGAGTTGTTGGGAGACAAGTGAATTTTTCCATGTTTGTGATGAAAGCTTTGATAATTCTATAAGCCAAGAAGCCCATGAGTGGTACTTTCTTGTAGGCCTTTAATAACTTGAAACATATTTGAAACTCTTTGACTGTTTGCTGATGAGTTATGACAATCTTGTTTTGTACTATCAGCTTGTGGTGAGGCTAGTGATCGGAATGGATCATCAGAAGAAGACATGGATGTGCCAAAGAATCTGATTGATCCGCTGGCAGATGATCAAGAATTGAAAGGCCAACTTCTTCGCAAATACAGCGGATACCTGGGCAGTCTGAAGCAGGAATTCATGAAGAAGAGGAAGAAAGGGAAGCTTCCTAAAGAAGCAAGGCAACAACTTCTGGACTGGTGGAGCAGACACTATAAATGGCCTTACCCATCTGTACGTATCATTCCTCTTCATTGTGCCTAATTACACTATAGGGGAAATTAAGTTTTTTGAGAAGTAATTTAAGGGGTTGGTTCTCTCACCTCGATAGTTAGCTTTTGGGTAGGGCCTCCCATCCTACCTAGGTACCCAGGTACCCATTAATATATATACACCCAGACTTTCAATTTCATCTCTTGTTCATTGGATAAAGTATATCATTAATACCCCGCTTGGTGACTTGTTAAGATCAATTCTGAAAGTTCAACTGAATAATGCATAATAATGAACAGGAGTCGCAGAAGCTGGCGCTGGCAGAATCAACAGGACTGGATCAGAAGCAAATAAACAATTGGTTCATTAATCAAAGGAAGCGTCATTGGAAACCATCGGAGGATATGCAATTCATGGTGGTGGATCCTTCTCATCCTCATCACCATTATTACATGGACACTGTTCTTGGCAATCCCTATCCAATGATCTAAATATATGTAGTAATATCGGCAATGCCTACATATGTACGTATGTTAAGTCAGGTACGTATGAGAATCTGTGTATTGTAATGTCAAATTTAAGGTCATTATTCCACGCTTAAAACCTTCGAGTATGATTAATTGTATTAATTATTGTGTGTAGAAACTGAACAGGCTGCGAAGCAATCTGTGTAAATCCGAACAGCTCTTAATATATTTTTGTCGCCAGATGTGATGATGTTATTAGTGTTATATAGTCAAATATGGTCCTTGAGGTTTGCTGGAACGTCTATGTTCAATTAGCTTTGTTTCCCACACTGATGACCACATCGTAAACGTTGGAAACTCGGAATATTTTTTGTTGTTGGAAGAGTTGTGTTTATTTGAAAAGTCATGTTTATGTAACTTTATTAAATTAATAAATTTATACGAAAGGGTTGTTTCCGTATGTAAATTAATATATCTACAATCAGTCCAAAAAAAATTGATATATCTATAAAGGATTATGGGGGTTTTTGGAGAAGCACTTTTCTGTAAAACGGTATAAACTCTTTTACGTATTTATTTTGTAAACTGTAAAAATATTTTTAAAATCAGGGTTTAGTTTTTATCCTAACACTTATATATCGGGGGTTTTAACACACAATACTAAAGTTTACCAAGTTATGTCTCTTTGGTTTTCATTGAGGTTTATGGAAATGTGTGGAAATTTGCGGTGAACAAAGTTGTGTATCGTAAAGGAACTCTACCTGTTAAAAAGGCAAGACTCATCATGGAAAAATAATTAAATAATTTTTAGTTATTTAAGTTACGTTGGTTCGCGAACTAGTAAAATATAGTTGTAACTTTTAACTCGGTATTGCTGTAATACATATCATTTCGTGATATATATATATATATATATACCCCTTTTATTATCATTCTATTTGCACATAATACAAACAACTATATTAAACTCTCATTGTCTTAAAGTTATTGAGTATTGGCGGTCTAATCTATATTTAACGTTTTTTTATTATATCTTAAAAAAAATTTGCTGATCAACCTAATTTAAATCCTATAAGATAATATGCAGAGACGAATTAAACTTAAAGAAAAATAAGACATAAGTTTTGTAGACATTGTGCTGAACTTTCTTCTTCATCTCTTCTCTCCTTGCTCTTTAGAAAACTGATCCCACCAAAAAGTGATTCATCATATGCTAGTTCTTTTTTTTTTTTTTTTTAACGCAAGATCTTGTGCATTATTTAGTAAAATATATGTAACCCATTTCAAAAGTTATTATTGTCTCTGTCAATGTTTTGGCTAGATAATGGTTTTTTCATCTCTTTTTTGCACTCCAATTAGTTATATCAGGATAGTTTTGAAAAGTTATACAATTTTTAAACATTATAACTAATCTTTTTTTTTTTTGGAATGAAAATAGCACGCAAACAAAGAGAATAGTTACATAATTGAAGCCATCGTGTTCTATTTATTGGTTCTTCTTATTCTAAGCTATTGATCTTCATTTTATATAATAAAATTATTCAAAGATTCAAGGTGTAATTTTACTTCCAACACGTTTAAAATGGTACTCTCACATTTATTTTTAATAGAATTGTTTGTTCCACTGTTAAGTCAGGTCTGTTTTGACTAAAACAATTCTAGGTAGCACATGAGATAAGTTGATGAGGTGTCAAAAACAAGGCTATTGAAGTGGGATCAAAATTATATGCAACCTGCATGTGTGGATGTTGTCTTCTGTTTGTTCTAAATTACTTCATGATTATTTAAAATGGATGTAAAACCTATCTCATTTTCTGTTTCACTTTTCCTTCCTCTCATTTCCCCTTCTTCACTCAAATAGGGTAAAACTTCTTTCTCCTGCGATTTTCTTCCTCATTTTCTTTCCACCTAAACAAACGTTAAAAAGATTAAATTTCTTTCATGGTGGGTTTTTGTCATTCTCCCTTCCTTATTTCGTGCCTCTACAACAATCAGGCGTATTTTGTTTATTAAAAAACAAAAGATTTGTAAACTATGAACCAATATTATTCTTAATATAACAGCGTAAGAGGAAAAAAGAAGAAGCAAAAACTCCAAAAAGGACGTAATTAATTTTTTTGTGCCAACTAAATTTTATCGCCAGCAAAGATTTTTTTTTTGACCAGCTATCTCTGGCAAAGATACAGTGTGAAAAATAAATTGCATTTATAATATATACCAGAGAGACTAAACACTTCATTAGGTTACTTAAACATGAGGTTGCATGTTCTATCTCCTTGACTATCATGAGTGCTTGAGTTCTTTCAGTTGAACGAAAGATGTTAAAATAAAACGAAGTAAAGGATACTCCTCTGGTCCTATTTATAAGGCAGAGAGAAAAGATATTTTTTAGTCTTATTTATGAGATATTAAGAGAAATTTTTTGTTTGAATGTATAATTTTACTTCTTATTTATTATTATGTTGACTTTATTTACATGAAGTATAATATATATTAAATACGAACAAAGTTGAAAAGTTGTTAAATTTTACATGAAAGTTAATAAAGTTTAAGGTTTTTTTTTATCTGTGTGAAGTATGCTGGAAGTCACTTATAAATGGAATCAGAGTAGTATATTTTAATAGTGAGTAGTTGCTATTAATATAAATGTATGTCTGAATATATCTACTTGGTCTTCACCAAGACGCTGAGTAGTAATCATCACTACGCTTTTTCTTAGTTTTCTCAACCATAACTATGTTTTTTTTTTGAAAAAAACAAAACACAATCAAGAGTCTGGAAATACTATGGTAAAATCCCAGCAAACTCCAGCCCACATTAAGACTTCAGAGTCCTTGATAAAGATGGACCAAGGATTGAATGGGCTGAATCATAGGCCTTTACTCAAACTATTTATGGGACCATACAGAAAGAGATTGGGCTTTAAATCAATAGTTTTTACAGTCGTTGTAACGAGAACTCCATCTTAAAAATTAGCCATTACTAAGAATATGATGATATTAATTTTTAATCACAAACAATTGACTTTCCCATAACCAATGAGGAATTCGAATTCCTTCCTTTGGAAAATGTGTCTATAATTTAATGTCTAACAGTGTTTCAAATAGAATTGCCTTCAACAAAATAATAGATGTGTATAACCCAAAAAAAATTCCCCCTAAATTTTTTGGGTTATTTTGGAATATTTAAAAAGGCTAAATATACAAATGTTGGCATACATGTATTGTATGCATATGTGATATGATTACGTCTGCTTTCTTGATGTATTAGTGCCCTGCAGCTTCTAGATTTTGTGCACCGCTTCTTTCTTGCTGAAAATTAATTAAACATTTTATGGAATATTTCCTATCGGGACAATACTTATATTAAGTTTTTCATATTTATTAAATCATTTTTTCTAATCACATATGATCCTGTGTCCTATTTTTAAAATATTAGTATTTAATTATAAATCAAAATGAGTTAAAAATTAACAAATGAATACGTGTGATTAGAAAACTTAATATAATGAATATAAGTAACTTGACTTAAGTGTTTTTCTTCTTATTATTACACAATGAATAGTTGAATTAATTAGTGGACATCACTCATCCATAAATTGGACAATGGTAATTAAAGCGTCGTGGCACTTAACGTGTGTAGCACATCAAAGATTTTTTTTTGGGTTTAATTTCCTTATTTGTGTGATTCTCAATTCTTTTTTCCCCTTTCCCTTGGTCTTTTTGCTAAATATATGTGTGTCTCACGTTATTTATAATTTTGTTCCATATAGAGGCCATTTTGGGTATCTAGGAAAAGCAAATTTACTTGACCAAATGATCCCCCAATAAATTTTTGTAATGACCACCTTGCCCTTTCAATTTGACCAAGCCTTCAAGGTTCAAACTTCTTGGTCATTCTCTTGTAGGTTTAATTTTTTAACAACGACCATGAACTTTGACACCAATGGAGATGGAGCTTCGACCAAGGGCATTGTCAATGTTCACCTAATGTCATTGGTCTCCATCATTGTGCCTAGTCATATTGTCCTGCCTCGTCTTTGTCGTTCACCATCTTCAAATCTTTTTGTTTTTTTAATTAGTGGCACTTTTGATCTAGGGATATTTTGGTCTTGGGAATGTTAAATCTTCCATTTCATACGCAAAAAATGTTTATGCCAAATATAAAAATTTATTATTGGTTGAGGAAAAATCATTAAATAGATCTATTTTTAAAAACATTTTTAAAAAATTTCAAAAACTAATATATATATATATTATAGAGATGGAAGAAGTGCTTTTCAATATTTTTTTAATTTTCATTCCTATTCCATAAAAAAATGCTTCTAAAATAATACTCCCTATGTTTCTTTTTATAAGCAACAACTACCATCATGTTCTTGTCCTTAAATATAAACAACATTTGTAAGTTGTCTTAAATTTTTTGTTGCAAATTTCTTATTTTTTTCTCATTTAAATACCCAATATATTTATTATCTTATTTCTCAAACCATCATCTTTCTTTATCCACATTCTTTCTTTCATAAATAAAGGTATTTTGAAAAAAAATTTCAATTTCTACCTATTTATTATCTTTAACTTTTTTATCCATGTGATGGAATCCAAAATTGCTTATAAAAAAGAACGGAGGAGGTAATATCAAACATGGCCTAAAAAACTTGTTGATCACATTATTTTTTTTTTTTTTGAATTTCTTCCCCTGGTATCCTGAGCCAAAACCATCTTCCAAGCACATCAATGGGTCCAAATTAATTCGAAGCGGCACTTTGTGGGACTCCAAAGAAAGCTTGCCTACCACAAACGCTACTGCGTTCCCAGGCGGTTGTTGATCACATTATTGATGAACTTGACTTTCCTTTGGTCAAACATCCTGAAAATATCAAAACTTCAAATCCGGAGTCAAATATATAAAATAATACCAAATGGAATAATTTGAAAATTTGAACGGTCAGGAAAAGACATCAGCGCCCCCTTATTTTTTTAAAAAGCCCCTTAGCACCTCTCGGCAAATGGCGGATCACCGGCAGGGTTAGCTATCTTAGGAAAATGTTATTTGTTAATTAAGTATGGGAAGTATCTAAGAAGTAATGTAAATACCATAAACTATCGAGTTGTGAAATTTGCTAAAATGTATTGCTATTTTCTAATGAAGTGAGGTGTAAATAGTGAATAAAGTGTGGTGTAGTAATACATTTTTCCAAATTTCACTGTTTGATATTTTAATGTATTTACTATATTTCTCTAGCTATTTCTTACATTTGGTTAACAAATGACAACACTTCCTTAAAACAACCAAATTTGCTCAGGACAAGGAAGGCGTACTTGAGGTTGAGGAGGCCCCCCCGGGGGCGGAATGCAAAGGGGCAATATTGTAAAAACACAAACATATCAAAATTTTACTTGGTATAAAGGACTGATTTGAAATCACTAAAACTGGAGACCCTTGTTTGAGATTTGATATTTTCAGGGTATTTTTTTGAGATTTTCCTTTCATTTAATTATACTCCTTCGATCTTAAATATAAGACCCACTTTTACACTTTATAGTGTAATTTACATATTATATTTTTTTTAACACCTTCTAGCTTTCAAAAATTATATTGATCTGCGACTAATCAGAGTCAAAATGGAATCCGATCTCATGGATGTAATGTAATACTCTCCTAGCGATAATATTTGTATAAAGATACGTGTGTGTTTTCTTATTAGACAAAGATATGCATAAGTTTTGTTTGTATTCCAACAAGCTCACATTAGATGTCCTGGCGCAGGGCAGAAAAGCAGTCAAGGCAGAGTCTGTAAACCGTAATTTTCTTACGTTTGGACAAAGCCAGATGCTATGAGACAAAAGAGTCTCCTAAATAATAGCACACAAGTGCAAAGCAAAAAATAGCCCAAAGAAAAAGAGAAAAGAAGAAAAGAAGGGAAAAAACGATAGAAACGTCAAGGCAAGAGATTATGGACTGGCCATTCCTCATGGACATTGTAAAGTAGCAGGGAGCACAAGTTGCAGCACCAATCCCAACAATACAACACAGCAAGACCAACAGGGTCGTCACCTAATGTTATAATGAGCTTGACCGCATTCTATAAAATTGACTGTAACTCAGGCGAAGTGTCATCGTCTCACTCTTCTAATCCTTAGGGTTCCTCCTCCTGCTCCTCTGTTCTCCTTCTTCCCCAAAACTCTTTTGGGGTTTCCAATTTCACATTTCTTCTTGTTGTCTTAACACCCACCTCCTCTTATGGCGAAAACTAGACCCGGAAGGAAAGACCTGGATTCTTACACTATCAGAGGCACCAACAAGGTCGTTAGAGGTAATCTCTCGCCTTTCTTCTCCAAATCTGTGCCCTTTCTATTTCTGTGTTGAAATTTGTTTCCTTTCTTGTGTATTTTATCTACATACGGAGGTGAGCGAGGTGGGGTGTTTGAAAAACATGTGCTTTTGTGGTGGATTTGCAGCCGGAGACTGTGTGTTGATGCGACCTTCCGACACCAGCAAGCCTCCGTACGTGGCGCGAGTGGAGAAGATCGAACAGGACAATAGGAACAACGTTAAAGTCCGTGTTAGGTGGTATTATCGGCCGGAAGAGTCGATCGGGGGACGCAGGCAATTCCATGGAGCTAAAGAGCTGTTTTTGTCGGACCATTATGATGTTCAGAGTGCTCACACCATTGAAGGCAAGTGTATTGTGCACTCTTTCAAGAACTACACCAAGCTCGAAAATGTAGGGGCTGAAGATTACTATTGTAGATTCGAATACAAGGCTGCTACTGGGGCTTTTACGCCTGACCGTGTCGCTGTGTGAGTATTTTTGGCGTTTCTCTTACGATATGAAATATTTGTATTTTGAGCACTGGAACTAATGGGGTTTTGTTGCTTTTGTTTATTGTTTGGAAGGTATTGCAAATGCGAGATGCCTTATAACCCAGATGACCTCATGGTACAATGCGAGGGGTGCAAGGACTGGTAAAATCATCTTATTCTGCTTTTTTCTGTTCACTATTTTTGCATTTTGTCATATGCCTCTTGGATTTTCAGATCTATTGGTTCAGCATTTAAGTCACATTTGATTTAATGAAGAAAGTTGATTTTTTCACCGCCTGGTGAAGGCGAAGAGTGTTGCAAGGTCTATATTGGGACTGCAATCCCATGAAGAAGGATAAATATGATATGAAGGCTTCAAGAAGCCTCAGGAAGATGTTTTCTAATGTCCAATAATTTGAATCCACTTTGAATTTGTTGCTGAACCTCTATATGGACATAATTCTCATGTTAGTCTTGAGAAAGAAATTCACTTGTGATGTCGCCGAGAGAGAAAGAGAGAGGATCAAATGAGACTAGAGAGGAGATAAAATTTTCTATCTACAGTTCAGCTCCTAATGCTAAAATCATGATTTTGAGTTTAATTGTCGCATTTCCCCCATTTATGTCAGACAACAGATATTAAATGATGCAGGGGTCGAATAGTTTTATCTCAAAGTGCAACTTTTTTGCATTTATCAACTAATTTTATCTGGCATCACTTTGATATGTTTTGTTGATTCACTGATTTTATCTGGCATCACAATATTTTGATAGATTTGTGTAATTTATTAAGTTTCCAAGAAACAATATCGTTATTACGGTTTTTAGTACTTTTAAATCATTGTGTCTTTTTTTTTTTTTTTTAATCAAACACCTATTTCAATCTTAATAGATTTCCTGTAGGTACCATCCTGCTTGTGTGGGCATGACTATTGAAGAAGCAAAGAAACTGGACCATTTCGTGTGTTCTGAATGTTCATCTGATGACGACATGAAAAAGATGCCCCAAGCTGCATTTTCTGTATCTCCAGCTGATGATGGCAAGGTGAGACTGCCTGTGTTTAGTCCCAGATAGTTTAGAGAAATCCACTCTGGCAGAGTTAGAGGAGGACCAATGTAGATTAACTTACTCAAGTGGATTGACATGAAAAATCATCTGACGTGCATACTTTGTCATATAAGCTAATCCGATTATGCATCTGTATTTTTATTTCTGTCTAGGTGCCAAAGTTAACTTTGTCACTGTTTTTTAGTTTTTTTTTTTTTTAAATAGTTTTCCTAGACCTAAAAGAGCCTAAGCCCTTTTTTCTTTTGTTTGGTCCAATTGGGAGTTTATTAGCAAAGTATCATTAGATAATGCTGTGGAGCAATAAGCTGAAGATTTTTTATGCCATGTCCACCTCTCCACTCACATTTTGCTATATGTTCCCACGATTTCTTCAAGGCACTTGTGTGGCAGTCATATGAATATAGTTGACATAGTAGCTGCGATAGCTTTAAAATCGATATATGATTCATGTTCAGCTTTACAAGTTTATAACCTGTAGCTATTTCTAATGTTTTTGCTCAATTTGTTTTAATCATCATTTAATCTGCACTGTGCATGCTTAATTTCTAATTTCTATTGTTATGACTTAAGCGTCTCATTTTCCAATTCTTGAATGGGGGAAGCCCAAACCTCAGGTCAAAACACTCCTCTAAAGATGATCCCATTTCCCATTCTTCCTCTTATATTGACCTCAGAAACCTCTAGTGTTTTTAGAGACAAATAAATTTCCATTAATTTCTTATATTTGCAAATCAATTGTATAAAGATAAATGTAGCGCCTGCATGATGTTTCATGCAATGTGGCTTGGGCTAAACTCTGACCATGACAATATAATTGTATCCCTTTGGTCCCTCTCCATTTGGGCTTGGTCATAATTAATGTTAACATGTTTATGTCATTCAATTTCCTTTTGGAAGATCACATCGTAGAACAAAACATGGTATCGCAAAGTTATATGTGCTAGTTAAACTTGATCATTTTATTCCCACTGCATTAGTATTCCCTAGCATTGAGGTGGCTTTTGGTTTGTTTGGGTTTACACATGTTTGGGCAAGGCCGATAAGTGCAAGCCTCAGTATGTGCTGGGTGATTCATTTTTATTGCTGAATGAATTCTGAATTTCTCGTTTAAATTTACTATGCTGGTGTCAATGGGAAAATCTTAAATTTTGGTCCGACACGTACAACTGCACGTTATAAATTTTTGCTGTTTGGATCATTAGTCATTATGCAAGATCTCTACTTTTCTACATTTGGATTACCAACATTTAACTTATTGTGGAGTAATTGAATTGTGTGAGTGCATAGTAAAAGCTTTTGTTCCTTAGGGGCATAACTTCCACTCAGGTATGTTTTAGAGTTGAATCTCATATTTTTTTGGAAGTATGGAGTATAGAGGCTTTAAAATTCCTAAAGATATCTTGGCGTCTCTCGCCTCATAAGAATATCATATTAAGTGACAGGACTCAGAACTATTCTGCAAATGTGTCTTTCTTTGGTTTTAATCCTCACATTAGCACGTTGTCATGCTATCCCATATGCTCGACTACTAGTTATGTAGTTATGTCTGGTCTAATGGTGAAGAATATCAGTAGTTAGCAGGAGGTCTTCAGAATTTTGTTCTTCTACTTATCAGATAGTGTTTGGTGCAGAAAAAGTACTTTTAGTCTTCAATACAGGAGCCAGATGATTAATTTGCAGATATTAAAGAAATTAGTTATGTGTAATTGGTTCTCTTAAAAATGCTTTATTTAACTATCACCTCCGTTGATGAAAACTCCATTTAATATACGCCATTCATAGGCATGTCACGGGAAAAAAAATTTATAAATTGTGGACACAGTAAACTAAGATCTTATATTTAGGACTAAACTAAACCTCTTAATTAGCTCTTATATTTAGAATTGGAGGGGGTAATTAACAATCAATGATCATAAAGGCAATCTTGACTGCCATTGTTGTGAATTTAGCTTCGGTTTTCTGTTGAGGTCTACAATACACTAGCTTGCATAACATGTTGCATATGCTCTATAGTTTATCACATTCTGAGCTTTTCAAGGCATAAATAAAATTTGCAGGTGGAGCCCAAGAGGAGGAAAAGATGACCATTATGCAGTAGAGTTTTTTACCCCTTGGAGACGAGAGGGAAAGAGAGAGACATGAAATGACTCATGCTCAATAATTTGCCTATATCGTAGCTGGTTTTGTGTGCTCTGGGTGTTGTTTTGTACAGCTTCAACCAGAGGTTATCGATTAATGATAGAACATCCTTGTGTATTTGGCTCCTCAGGCTAAGGTTATTATGTATCTATGTTCCTAGGTTTTCTTATCACATTGATCTCTTGGCATGTGAGTAAAAAAGAAAAATTGTCATCTTGAAGCTGAGTTTGCAGTTGTGTTAGCTGGAAAGCATCAAAACGCTTGATCATTCCCCATATTTCGTAATTTTTTTCCTGTTAAAACAGAGAAATTTAAAATATTATTTCCATGGCATGGACAAGCCTCCCTCCCCCTATTTTTATCTGGATAGCAGATTATCCGCTGAAATAAGGGCAAAATAATAATTGAACAAATGATGATTGAAAAAAAGGTTATCCTAACTTTGTCTAATTGGTGAACCAATAATATTCTACAAGATCTGGAAAATTCATCCCAAAGTCTAGTTCAAGAATATTCGAGAACAAGTCAAGGATATTATTATTTTTCCTGAGTGAACAAATATCATGATATTGGAGAAATTAATTTATATATATATTTCGTTGAGATATAAAATATATCATTGAAAGATGAAAACGTCAATTCAGGCTTTTATTCTTTTGATCCCATTATTCGTCAACAAACAAGGAAAGAGACGTTAGAAAACTAATAATAATTAATGCTATTATTGAAAGGCAGAAAAAAGGGAAGAAAAACTGGGTTTGGCGTGTGAAAGAGAAAGAGATGAATAGATGGATGTTTGGTGTGATGCAAGACGGCAATAACGCTTGAATTAAAGTAACCAAAATTCCAAAAATATCTGTTAACAAGACCAATATGGAATCTGACGACGAGCTCACGTTAACAGTGCAAGCCTTTTACTGTGTATATATATATATATATATATATTTATGTATATGTATATGTAACTCATCTTTCACCACCACCATCATCATCTTCAGCTCCTCTCAACCAGAGTTGGAGAAAATCCCTAAATCTCACTGAGCTGGCAAAACATGGCAAAGAAAAAGAAAGCTTTTCTGATAATAACACTGATGATGAGCCTGTTGGTCGTTTTCTTCAGAGCCTGCTTTGCAGAAGAACGATCCATATACTTGGTCTTATTGGAAGGAGACGCTGTCGCTTTCTCCCAGGTTTCGTCGTCACACCCCAACAGGTTCATTTTCATTATTCTCTATTTTTCATGCCAACATCCATATAGTAAATCTTTAATACCATATTGTTCAAAGTTTGAAAAACATTTGAATTCTATACATGGTAGGCTCATATATATTAATCGGTCAATATATATTTATATATACCCTTGCCAAAGCAAGCCTATATTATATTCCTTTCCTTTCTTTATTTTTCTGATACCTGTGGGTGCATGGTTGGATATATAGCGAAGATTCAATGGCGCATGCAAAGAAGTTGGTGGAGTCTCATGAAATGCTTCTGCAAACCACCTTAGAGGAGGGAAGCTACAGTAAGCTTCACAGCTTCAAGCACATCATCAATGGCTTCTCAGTTGACGCAACCCCATCTCAGGTCTTCTTCTTAATCTCTCTCTCTTTCACCAACACAAGTACAATAATAACAAAGCCCTTTGATAACTTAACCCTTATATATATATATATATATGGCTTCTGCAGGCTGCGAGACTGAGAAGCAGGGAAGGAGTGAGAGTGGTGGAGAGAGACAGAGGAGCAAGTCTCAAAACGACATATACGCCTGCGTTTGTGGGGGTACAAGGAGGAATGTGGGAGGAAGAAGGAGAAGGAGGAGAAGGGGTGGTGATAGGTTTTGTGGACAGTGGGATTAACCCTAGCCATGGAAGCTTCGCTTACGATGCGTCACGGCCTTTTGAATCGAACATATCTCAGTTTTCAGGAGGGTGTGAGACAGGTCCCAGGTTCTCTGAAAGTGATTGTAATGGGAAGATAGTTGGGGCAAGGTTCTTCTCTAAGGGAGCTCAAGCCATTGCTTCTCTCAATCCTTCTCTTGATTTTCTTTCGCCTTTTGATGCTGATGGGCATGGCAGGTAATGGTATATCTATAATCCTTTGACCAATATATATATGGTTTGAAGGTATGAGATTAATTAAGGAAAATGTTAATGATATGTATATGAAATGGGTTGATCAGTCATGTGGCGTCAACAGCTGCTGGAAATTGTGGGATTGATGTTGTGGTGAATGGGTTTTGCTACGGGCGTGCTAGAGGAATGGCACCGCGAGCAAGGTAAGCTTTCCGTGGCTTATTATTATATACTAATTCTTTTAATATAAGATTTGGTTGTTTAAATTGGAGAAATTAAAAAAGTTATTAAATTATTTTAAAGTTTTTATATTTATCATTTTCATCTAAATTAATTTGTGTCACTTATAATAAGATAATAATTCACATAAGTATTTTAGAGATATTATGCAACATAAACTATAATTAAATAATTTCGTAACTTTTTTAATCTTTCTAAATTAGTCAATTAAATCTTATTTTAAGAAATGGAAATAGTAACAAATTATATATATAATTTGAAACAATTCAAAGCCAAATAGTTTAATCTCACAATTTATTATATGCACAAAAACAGTCAAATCACATCTCAACAAATACGATTTACAAAGCACATAATAATAATGATGGTATCCACAAACCTTTTTGAGAGTTTTTTTTTTTTGGTCAAAGGTTTTCTGAGAGAATAGAGAGAACGTGTTTGGAATATAATTACAGTGAAATCCCGAAGAAAACTATACAATTTATTATCTGTTCAGAAAAAGCTCGTATCAGTTTTGGAAATTAAAAGGTTCATCTAATTCAAACAAAATTGAAGAGAATTTTATGTCAGTTATTTGTCAAAGAAAGTGATAATTTTTTTTTTGAAAAAAAAAGTTTGTAAGGTTTCGCTATTAATATTAGTATTAAATCATAATTATAAGCATATGAATTTGATACAAGTTGGGTGCTATGCATGTGTCATTTTACAGAATTGCTGTATACAAGGCTATTTATCCAACCGTGGGAACTATTGCAGATGTTATTGCAGCAATTGATCAAGTAAATATTCCCTCCATTCCTTTATACAAAATGGTTCTACCACCCTCAATCCCTAGTTGAATCTGGTACAAAAACATAATAGCTCAACTTATTATGTATTTTATATTTATTAATGTTTTTTCAAACTAATTTACTGAGTTTGCACAAACTAATATACCATACAAGGTATTTTACGGAGATTATATCAAACTTGTTTTAATCAACTAATATATCTGGCTTCTTTAATTTACTTAAAGTAGTCAAATAACTCTTATACCACCTCTGGTCTTTAATAGAAGAACTAATTTGACTTGCAATTTGGTTCTAAATATAAGACTCTAATATACTTTATCTCTCATATTTATTCTTTTTTTTTAAATAGTCTTTGTATTAATTGCACATGTTAAATGTTTTATCAAATGATAGTTTCAGCTAATATATATGATTAACAAGAGTATTATAAAAAAAATAATACATATTTATTATAACTAACAAACTTAACAAACTTTTTTAAATCCACTCAAATTAGTCATCTAGGCAAAATATCCTTTTGTTTCATTATTAGCGTTTATGTATCGTTGAAATAATCAAACTACTTGGTTTGGTTTGGCATTATGCATTTGGCAGGCTGTAGCCGATGGAGTGGACATCATAAGCCTATCAGTGGGGCCAGAGGAAGCACCAAGAGACATAGCGACGATGCTGAGTGTGTTGGAGATAAGTCTGCTGTTTGCAAGAAAAGCAGGAGTGCTTGTGGCTCAAGCCGCTGGGAACAAAGGACCTTCACCTTCCTCGTTGCTCTCATTCAGCCCCTGGACTCTCGGCGTTGCTTCTTCCACCACCGATCGCTTCTATTCTGCTTCTCTCCTTCTTGGCAATGGCCTCTCCTTCCCCGGTGTTGCCCTCTCTGGTACCATTTCCACACTTTGCTGAACATATTCATCTCTTAACAACATGCTATCTCCTTCATTAGTTTCAATACAAAGTTGAGTCGCACTTTACAATATTCTTTTAAAAGAAGGGAAAATTAGTATTATGGACTGATTTTTCGAAATGACAACAATAACAACTCCTGCTCACCAGTGAGACTTTTGGTGATTTTTTTTTTTTTTTTGGGGGACCTCAGTGATTTTTGCTTGAAAGAAATCTGAGAGGCAGAAGCAGAATGCTTCCCCCGTATCTAGATGACTACCTAGATATCTCTGGGAATCATAACTCATGAATTCCATATGCAATTGAAAAAAGATAAACACAGCAATAGGTCTATATATTATAATGTACTTCCCTGCAACTGTGCATTTTGCGCCATCAGACGGAGAGAGAGATAGATATATAGTGGTAAGTCACATCTATTCAGTAATTAACATCCCTGCATTCTGTTTATTTTCAAGTCTCAATGATGTCTTCTCTAATGTCTTCTCTAATAAAGGATTCTCTCTGAGTGAAATATGCTACGTGCGTAGAAAGAAAGGAAGAAAGAGAGCTTTGGTGGGCCCCACTTGACAAATGGAACCCCTCCTCTTTCTTCTCCTCTTTCTGAACTCTAATTATATGCAGATACGTCTATACCTTGTAATCACCTGGAGATGTTGGCACAAAAAAAGCTGGAAACAAATTGTACTCCTCTCTCTATATATAGATTTCTACTTTTCTAGTTAATTATACATACTTGTAGCTAGGATGGGAGAGGATCTTGTCAGAATTATAATTAGCTTGTGACGCATTACTACACACACACAAGATGTTTACATATATATATATACACATATATATGCAGGACCAGGTTTTAGAAATGAGACAGTTCTGCATAAGCTTGTGCTAGCGAAGGATGCATTAAAAGAGAATGGAACATTCCCGAGGACTCCTGAATATACTGAAGAGTGCCAACACCCAGAAGCTTTCAACGCTGATGTACTGAGAGGCAGTGTCATAATAATCTGCACCTTCTCGTCTGGTTTCTACAATGGAACCTCAACCCTCACTGCCATTGTCGACACAGCAAAAACCCTAGGGCTTGAGGGCTTTGTTCTTGCTGCAAACCCTAACTATGGTGATTATATTGCAGAGCCTGTTCCATTTTCTGTTCCTGGCATCTTGATCCCATCTGTTGCTGATTCCCAGGTACGTATTCATCAAGTCTCAAGCCACCTCTCTTGTTGTCCCCCACTCTCTGTACGTGATTTAAATTTAAAATTCATTTTTTATTTTTGGAAAAGCATGAAACAATTAGTATCCATAAAATTTGATGAT